TCCGAAATTGATCTTGATTCGATCGTGATATCGTCCGAAGTACCGCTCCGGTTGGATGACTCGTGATTTTCCTCAACTCATAGTTTGATTGCTGCACGCGTGGATTCATTTCCGTTGCTGGGATTCCGATCTCGTCGCCTCGTTGGTTCGTCGGTTTGTGCCGAGCTGTGCTAGGGGACCTATAAGCAATTTTATATGCCTACAAGCCTATGCCCAAGCAGCCCAACATCTTATAGGACCTATAGAGTCAATTTTGATGTATGTACTATGGTTGATGGGACTAGCTAAAATAAAAATGTTTGCAAGTTTATTTTTACACCTCTATCAAACAGTAATGGTACTTATTGTGTATTGATGACCTAAATGACTAATTGGTTGAGTAATGAACATAATTTATGATAAACTGTACATTCTTGGTTATGGAAGCTTGCATAAGTTAATTTTCTAGAATACTGTTTGTTCACTCTTGGTGTCAGAAAACAAGTGCAGGTTTTTTAACACCTCTCACGAAAAGCAATAGAACTTGTATATTGATGACTCAAATGACCCTTCTGGCAGAGTAATTAACATTATTTGTGGATAAGCTGTACACTTTTGTTTACGGAATCTTAAATAAATTATATTTCTAGAATCCTGTTTTCTTCACTCTTATTTTCGAAACTTAGATGGCAGGGCAGATCATCTTTCTATTGATTTTTTTAATTTCTAGAAAAATATTAGAGTGATATCTGATTCTTTTTTTGTTCTTGTTATCTTTAGGTTCCCAGGGAATGGCTTTATGCTTTTAGTCCTGTAAGAATGCACAGCTACCTGAAGAAATGCCAGTAAGTTTTGTTTCTGAGACAAACATCAAGTTTAGTATTTTGTTAGGGGGCAACTTGCTATTATTCAAACTGAGAAACAGATGTCTCCAAGCCGCATATAAGATTGAACTCTTGTAGTCCTATCTTAGTAATATCAACTGTACATATTTTAATTATTCAGATTTGGTAAGGTAGCCAAGTTGTAACTTTTGCCCTTTTATCAAAATCCAACCAATTTTTTAGAAATGCTGGGTGCTTTAGGGTGGTGGATCTGGCACCATTGGCACCAATGCACCACCTATCTGTTTTTTGGGAATTTAGAAAATTTTAAAATTCTATACTAAAGAGTAAATGCACAACTTTTTGAGAAGGCACAACATTCAGAAAAATTTAAACAGGAAAATATAAAGTAGAAGAAAAATCTCAAGAAATACAATTGATGTTTGATAATGTAAAACAAGTGAAAACAATAAATATGACTGCATGGAAGGTAATATATTACAAGTTATTATCTAGAGAGATGATGGAATATAGAACCGTAGCAGAAAGCATTGTGCTTCTCCCTCTTTCTATGTTGAGGAAAAAGAGAGGCACAACATAAAAAATACAGGGAGTCTAAGAACTATAGTTGGAGATGCAGATGGTGCTTCTGCCGCAATTGAAGGCACATTAAAAAAGAGAGAAGGAGAAAAAGGAACAAAGGAGGAAGGAAAGAAAATAAGAAAGAACAATCATGAAGGTCTAGTTTTTTAGTTGTAAATATTGTTATAATGTTTTGAAAAGACTATGATATAATAAACGAAATATTCTGTGCAACCTACTTATTTGTGCTTTATCCTTGTAATATAAATATATAATCTATACTGTAGGGCACTTTTTCCATACAGTAACACTGGTCAGCCTTTGTCCTACCTCTGACTTCCCTTAGTCCTACCTCTGATTTCCCTTTACAACGATGCCTCCTTTTCTTCCTTTTCTTTTAACTTCTTCCAACTTCAAAGTTTCCAACTTATTGGATCATTGGAAAAATTTGGTGCTTCATACTCTCTATCCTCATTGAAGCATTTGTACTGAGCAAAATGCTATCCTATTAATTTAGAGTCATAGACTAAATAGTAGGCTATTCTATAAACTAGAACTGTTTTAGACCCTTGTTCTCGTTTGGTGTTTTTAATGTTTGTTTACATTGTCCTGTGTGGTTTATCATGAGTTTCTTCTTATTGCAGCCAAACGAGTAGATCTGACTTCATTGATGAAAGGAAACCTGAATGGTTTAAAATAGACCGTGTGATTTCTTGTAGGAGAAAGTGTGACTCAGACAAACCTTTTGAAATTTTGGACATAGGATCAATGAACCAAGAAAATGGGGATCTCGAATTTCTTGTGAAATGGATGGGCCTTGATTATTGTGATTCAACATGGGAATCATCTTGTAGTGAAGAATTATCGCCTGAAGTTAGTAGGTTAATCCAGAGACACCAAAGAGCTACAGAAAGAGTTGATAATTCTTCCACATCTTCTGGTAGCGAAGCACTAAACAAGATTCCTAATGAGCTGTATGGAGGTGTTCTATATGACTATCAACTTCAAGGACAGAGCTGGATTCTTAACAACTTTAAGGCGAGGAGAAATGTTATCCTTGCAGGTATGCTGTATATTTTGATTGCCAAGACAAACCCTATTGTGGTTTGTATTTAGTGCATTTACAATCTTAGTTTTTAATTATGGTGCTAATGTAACTGAAGTTTTTTTCCATACTAGGTGAGATGCACGTGCGTTGCACGTGATTATTTTTTGAGTTTTTTATTTACTATAATTAGGTTGGCAAATAGTTTAAAATATATTAAAACTTTTCGGATTTCTTTGGGTATAACCTTGTTGGTTTCATACTCTTGCCTTCACGGGAAATAATAAAGTTTAGAGTATTTTAATAACATTATAAATAATAAACAATCCATCTGATAAACTTGTACTATCGCTTGTTTAGGTTTTGAATTTATTTTGTGAAAAAGAATATGAGAAAAAGTGACTTAAAAGGGGAAAAATAAAGATCTAGAATTAAGCATTTGGAAGAGGTAATAATGTTAGTATGCAAATTAAAAGTGAAATTAATCGAAACTGTTAAGTAAATCCATGTGAATTAGAATGGATGGTCATTTTGATTGATTTGTTGTTATTGAATTTTGAGGCCGAGAGTGCATCGAATTTGCAATTAAATGAATGGATATTCTACTATTATCAATCTAACTGATTCAATACTTTTTTAGCAATACATATAATTGATACACTTTTATTAAATATTTATATTAAGTAACAAGATGATATTTACTCACTTGAATAATATCTCTCAATTGCTTGGAGAAATGTACTCCCAGTAGCTTTATCATCAACGGATCCTATAATTATACAACATACATAAATTTTTTAATTCAATAAAATGAATAATTATTCCTAGTAACTTTCTAATCATTTGAAGAAAAACTATTGATTTACACCATTTTAAGGATTTTCTAATAGAAAAAGAATATTGATTGAACTAGGAGTTAAATAATAAATCTAAAAATGTGTGTTTTATTAAACTCTACATTTTGGCTTCAAAATAAAATTTTGGAATTTATAGGACTACCTAAATTTATAAACAATGTTCTTTATTTTGTGGACTTAGAAATAACATTTTTGGCTTCTTAAATTTTGCAAAAATTTCCCTTTCTTATAATTTTGTTATTAAAATTTTAGATTTAAACTCATAATTAATTTTACTAAAACCATAATTCTTTATAAAAAAATTTTGGACACACTTATAGTGATTTTTTATTTATGTTAATTGTTATTTTTATTTTTCATAGAACAAACTAACTTTATAGAGTTATCCTACATGTAAATTTTACGTTGCTTTCTATATATAAAACAACTAAAACTACTTAGCGAACAAATTTCTTTGTGGTTTAAATGCCTATGTGCTAAAATATGCTTCTTGGTAGTCATGCTTTTATAAATGGTAAGATCAACACTTGTAAAAAACCCTGAAGAGTATTTTGAATATCCCTTCATGCAACAACAGGTCTAAATACCATGTTCTTCCAATAATTAACAAAAACATAAATGAAAATCATAACATTTTATAATTACCTATATGCACTCAAAAAATCTACATGAATGAAAAATGTAAATGAACCATAAAGATTAAGTATAAAAAAATAAATGATTTTTTTTTGAAAAAAAAAATGATTACAATTAATGAAACTAAATGTTGATAAAATTTGTTTATAAAAGGGTCTGTACTATAAGAATATAAAAAAGGTAAATGAAATGGTAACACATTGTATATTATACATTTATCAATTGATCGATCAAATAGAAGTTAAGCATTGCCCACAATTCAGAGAACAAATAAAATTTTAGTAGTTGAAAAATTATTAAAATAGGGTGATCTTATTAAGATTCTAATTTTTTTTTATATTGTTATCTTATGCAAACACACAAAACTTGTTAGCCATATCCATTCACTTAGACTCATAAGCTATTAATCATCATTATTGAATTTTATAGTACCAAAATGAGCTTATTCTAAAACTACTTGGAATATTGAGACCGCGTTTTCATCCTCTTTAACCAAACTCTATCATTATTTAATATTAAATTGTGGTATTTTTTTTCTCAACTATACTGCACTATAAAAAATTTGCATATAAAACAATAAGTAGATTCATGCACTAAATATGGTCCATTGAATTAACCAATATGATACATATTCAAATATACTTCTTTTAGAAAAAAATGGGGCCTAAAAGACCCCAACCAACAGCCATACTACAATTCCCAACTTACAAATGAGCTTTCATCCCCAACAAAAATATGAAAGCACTATAAGTATTTTTACAGATTTAGCCATGATTACATGAAACCCACACACAAGAGAAAAACATATTCAAACATACTTACCAAAAAAGTAAAACAATAAGTAGATTCATGCAATAAATATAGTCCATTAAATTAACCAATACTATACAAATTCATATATACTTCTTCTAACAAAAAAATGGGCCGTAAAAGACCCTAGCCGATAGCCATACTACCATTCTCAACTTAGAGTAGCTTTTATCCCAAACAAAAAGATAAAAGCACTATATATATTTTTACATATCTAGTCATGATTGCATGAAACCATACATGAAAGAAAAACGACAAATATATTTAAATATACCTGCAAAATATATAGTCTCAACTCAAGTTATGCCTATATGAATCACCATCTCGACACCAACCAATAAACTCAACATGTCTACAAAGACAGGCTAGACTGAATCCTCACAAGCTACACCCTTTTTCACAGTTCGGGGCTCAAATCTTTTAACAACCAAAATTACAAATAGTGAATTCAGATATAAAAAAGTTATACAAAAAAAGATCAAGGATTTCTTAAAAAGATAAAGAATTTCAAAAAAACTAATTATGCAGAAGGATTCCTAGTTCCTAGTTTGATAGGACATGTAAATTCATTGGCCATATACTTATAAACTGAGAATGATATTTGGTACGGTGTGAAAAGTTGAATTACTATATATGACATGTACAAATTAATTAATAGATTATATACAAATTATATCTAGTTTGGTTGTTTGCAAATTATACTATCTCAACAAAAACTTAAAAGTATTCAACAAAATTTGGTGGGTTCCAAAATATCTTGGCGCCTTGCTGCATCTTTATGTTGTTCTGAATTGGGAAACTGAGAGAGCATAAAAAATCACTTGGTTTCCATCTTCCAAAAAATTTTAAAAAAAAGTTCAAACTTACTATTAAACCGGCGCCAAAGAATAAAATGGATGGGGGCAATGTGGAGGAGGAATTAGACGAAGGATTAGGCTCGATACAGATCGATGTACTGTTGAAGAAATACTTGAAATGTTGTTGGTATTTGAAAGTAGGAGCTTTTTAGAGTCAATTTCGGGTGGAGATGAAGAGAGGAGTCGTATTTGAATTTTTTTAAATGAAGAGGTAAAGGGATTGAGTGTTGAAAGAGAAGAGAAAGAGTTTTTGAATTTTTAGTGAAGATATGTTATCATGACAAAAGAGGAGATATGGAGATGAATCGGTAAAGGTTACAAAATAATGAGCCGTTAATTTTATTAATTTAATTTAAGTTAATCTAATTAGAATCAGAATATATAATATAAATAAGGTTTAAGGGTAAAATTGTCCATAGAAAGTTTTACTCGTACTCTCTTTTAAAGGGAGTATGATAAAGGAATAAGAAATTGAGATTTGTTTAAACACATTATGTCACATAGAAATTTGTGAGTGTTCTACTTTCTGGCGTCTTGTATGCTGCAAATTTTGTATTAACTGTTCTACACAGAAAGAAAGAAGAAAAAAAAGGCACCTGTTTCTGAACTTTATGACACAAAAATTGAGTTGTGTGCAGGTCCACATTTATGTCCATACATGATGTATTCCTGTATGCTTGTGGGATGAAGTATCTGAGACATTTCTTTGCTTGCATTCTCTTGTACAGATGAAATGGGACTAGGGAAAACTATTCAGGTTGTTTCTTTTATTCGGTGCATGAAGCAAGAGAAGCTCAATATTGATCCTATTCTAATAATTGCTCCGAAGAGTATTCTCTTTCAGTGGGAGAAGGTTTGTGAAATTCTAATTTTTTTTCCTTGGGATACATGGTCTTGAAACAATCATCTGGACATGCATATTTCTTTTTTGCACATAATTCATAAGTTAAAGAAGAATGGTCTGGGTTGTTCTCTCTATTTTATTTATTTAATTATAAGATTGATTGATTTACCAGTCAAGTTGTGCACATCATTTTATGTTTATTTTTAATATAGTCTGGCAGAAACGACCTCTGCAATTCTAGATCTTGCTCTGTTCATGTAGCTACTTTTTCTGTGATAGTTTATTGTCTAAAGAGTTACCATTCATATGATTGTTCTGCAGGTGTTATATATTTTAGCTACCATGATATAATAGTTCCTATTGTGTGTGCGTGCACGCGTGTGAAATGTATACTTATTTTTTCCCCTACATTATTTCTAGGAGTTTCGCAATTGGGCTAAGGATCTGAATGTGATTATTTATCAAGGCGAAAAGCAGTCCCGTCGATGCATCCGGACACATGAGATGTACGCATCTGGGAAATATGTTCTTTTTGATGCTTTGATTACAAACTACGAGCTTGTGATTTTGGATATGAGCACACTGAGGAAGTTTAGATGGTCGGCGATTGTTAGTAAGTCCTGGCTATTGGTATTTTTTCTTCGTGATGATATCAGAATGTTTTTATATTTTTTTAATCTTGGGATCGTAATATCAATCCTGTCACCTACGTAGAGCGATACCGTTGCTATCAGAATGCTTATCTGTGTTTTCATGCTCAACCAAACTGTGTTTTCTCTAACTTAATTGAAATGGAAAATAAGATTCATGTTTAACGATCCAAGTACATGTTTGTTGAGTATAATCTTGCATGAATCAAATTACACAAGATAATATGATTTTGTTTATGCTTTGACGCACACTTCGAATGAATACTAAAGAGGAATCTGTCCATTTCAAGGTTATCCCTAACTGCAGTTGAATTTGCTACTAATGGATTTTTGTGTTGTTGATGAAGTTTGTGTCTAACATATTTGTTGTTGGCTGATCTCAAAGTTGTACATTTAACTAACAATATTCTTAACTAAAACGAATCCTAAAACTCTTGTGAAGTTCCACTACTGAGGGCTAGCTTCATGGCAACAGTGAGGGGTTGTGTTGTTAGAAGTCCCAGCTTTGAGCATATGCTAGCTATCACCTTAATATATTTTCTAAAATTGTAAGACATGTCCTAGTGTATGGGTACTGCATCATTTCTCTTTATCATTGTTTACGGAGAAAAGAAAGAAAAGAAGATTGAGAAGAAGGAAAAAAACATTACTATGACCAGTAGGTTTGGTAATGTTTATGTGTGTGTATTATTTTTCGTCTCTTATTTAAGATAGCATATGAAAGCTTGTTTTCTTTCTTTTGTATGTTATATGAGTGCTTTCTTCTCCTTTTCCCAACTGCATTTGAGCTGCAAAGTAAAATGTAATTTGTACCATTCGGATGATTCACTCACTCTTGGCAATGTAATTTGTACCATGCGGATGATTCATTCACTCTTGGCCTCAGATCTTTTTTCTCTAACCACGTGATTCTGATTATATAAAGATTTACTTGTATTTGTGCAGTTGATGAGGCTCACAAAATCAAACGACTTGATTGCAAGCTTGCTAGCTGCCTCAAACAATACAGTTCTGATTTCCGGTTACTGTTGACTGTAAGTCTTTGTTTATCCATACTTGAGGGCAAAATGCAATCGTGGGGTGTTACTATTTCAGACCATTGGCTATCTCACACATGTTGTTTGATTAGCCGCCACAGTAATTTTATTTCTACAATAACTATGCCCTTTATATCTGAATTTTAGGGAACTCCTCTACAAAACACGTTGCTGGAACTTTTTGTGCTGCTGAACTATATTGATCCTGAGAGATTCTCTGACCCAGAGGCTGAAGCTGAATCTTATAAAAGCATCAAAAGTTTAAGTCCTCCAGACATAGAGAAGAAAATTGCTGAAATTCACGAACTATTGAGACCAAGGTATTTCTTTTATTTGGCGATGAAATTTTCGCACAGTATGTCTAAATTATACGCAACTCATCTAATATACGTATTTGACAGGATGTTGAGACGAATGAAATCTGATGTTCTTCCTGGGTCTATTCCAGTGAAAAAGTGGGTCGAAGTTCCATGTGCATTAACTGATTATCAGAGGGAACTCTACATAAATATTTTGGAGAAAAATCATGAAAAGTTGAGCATGCAAATTCAAAATGGTTGGTGGCTCTTCCTATCATTTCTTGGTTAATTCTCTCTCTCCTATGCTGCAAATGGCTCAAACGAGTATTTATATTGCTTTTCCCTTCGTTTTATATATGATAACTGTAGTCATGAGGAGATGCTTATGTACAATTAGAAAAATGCCTCCAAAGAGTTGTATTACATGCGACAGACCCCCATAGTATCACCGACCAGTGAATAGACTCCCTTAGTTGTTTGTCACATATATACCCCCTGAGTGAATCCTTTTGGACTCTTAAAATCGTTAAAAATGTTTGATGAGGCGGATAGACACCCCTATAGTTATATTGGTGAGGATAGGCACCCAATCACTAATTTTTTTCTACTTATAAAAGAGTCAAAATAGTTCACTAAGGGGGTGATACGCACTTGGGTCGATACCACAAATGGTCTATTCGCAATAAATAGAACTACAGGGGGTCTATTTGCAACACAGAACTACAAGGGGGGCTATTCGTAATTGGGTGATACTACAGGGGGTCAGTTCGCAATTAATCCTTGTCTAATTGACTCTCCAAATCAGTTGAGAGCTTAGAAACTTCCCCCTGTGGCACTTTCTATTTGATTTTGAATGGTAGAGACTTAAAGTACCCTCATACCACTTTTTCTTTTATTCTCTCTTCTCCCATCCATTGGACCTGATGTTGGGGCGGTGAAGTAGCAAGCTTATGGGTCTCAACCATTTCTAGGACATTTGGTGTCAACGATGGTGCTTCTTTTCTTGTTCTAAGTATAACTTTCCATTACCAATAGCAATAATGCAATCAAGCTATAGAATAGGCCTCTCATAAAACCGAGAGCCTCAGAACTTCCTCTCTACTCACAGGTTGGCTACACTCTTTGTAGAATCTCACAACCTAACAATAACATGAACATGCTTGCTACTTCTTAGACAAGAAATCTAGCTCAATATGCATTGCTTAACACCAATCTCTATTCTTCTCTGAGTTCTGGAGCTTTAAACATTGGATTTTAATGTCAAATATAGCAAGCTTCATACACTTCTCTACAGGCACCCTCTGATTATGAAAAACAAGTTCATTTTGTGCAATCCATATGTAATAAATGCAAGCTGCACCTGGTGCTTTATTAATGGATGTGATAGATGACCATTTTTCCACTCTTCCATCCAAGCTACAGTCCAGGTTCTAGGAGCATGATGGATTTGAACAAACTTCATAATGCCATCGTACAATTGAAAACTAGGGTCACAGTGAAAATATAAGTGATCTCTAGTTTGTTTCACGCTCACAAACAGGGCATAAATCATCATCAACAATCCCAAACGGCTTTAATCTTGACTTTGTTGGCATCTTATCTAAACAAACAATCCAAAAGACAAATGAATGTTTGGGTAAGGTGAACTTACTCCAAACTATATGAGCCCCACTTCTTTCCCCCCTACATCAATAAGAAGTTTATAGGAGACTGGCAGAGGAAGTAGAAAAACCAGGTTTTCCACCTTTTCATATCTATAATCCACACAATGCGGAGCTACTAGTCTTAAGTTTCAAGAGTTTCTTAAAATCCCATGAATAGTGAGGCTTAGCTTGCATAGTCCAGAAGTCTTGATGAAGTGGATAATAACCATGTATCCATCTAACCCACGCAGAGTCAGATTTAACACAAATAGCCCACACATGCTTAAGCATATGTACCTTGTTAAAAACAAAAAGATTTTGGGGACCAAGTTCTCCCACCTCTTTGGAAGAACAAACACTAGTCCATGCCACTTTAGCTTTCTTATGATTTTCTTATCTCCAGCCCATAGAAAGTCTGCAAACTCCCTCAACAGCTTTAACAAATTTTTTAGGCAATAGGAATATTTCTCCCCAAAAGTTCTGCACGCTATAGATGATAGTTTCAATTAGCTGAAGCCAACCAGCAAATGACAGTAGTTTGGATGTCCAGCAAGTGATTCTTTGAATAATTTTCTCGACAAGCACACCACAGTTTTGGGATGATAAAGATTTATGAGAAAGAGGGATACCCAAGTATCTAACATGGAGATGACCCTTAACAAAGCGCATCACTTGGAGAATTGTCATTCTAGTACTATGCTTAACTCCCCAAAGAAGGCTAGTCTCTTAGCTTCATTTGCAAATAATCTAGATGCTTTGGAGAAATGGAGAAATCTATTATATATTTGAGTCACCGAGAATTCATCTCTGCAAAATAGCATAAGATCATCGGCAAAACACAAGTGTAATATGTGCATACTTTTACAAGTAGGATGCAATTCAAATGCCCTAACCTCCTTGAGATCTGCCAAGCATCTACTTAATTATTCCTTGCAAGCACAAACAAGGGGAAATGGGATTTCCTTGCCTCAAGCCCCTAGTACCAGGAACTGAAATAGATAGACCTCATTTGTCCACTAACTGTAATAGGATTAGAAACAGTCTCGACAAACTCCATAATCCATCTCTATGAGGAAACCCCAAACTGTTGAAGAAGATCATTTAAGAAAAACCAACTTAGAGAGTCATATGCTTTCTTGAAATCCACCATGATCACACATCTTGGGCTAATAGACTTCCTACCATACACATGAAGTAATTCTTGAGCCATAAGGATATTATGAGCAATACTCTGACGTTTTATGAAAGCCCCCTGATTCTCACTGACTATGGTGTGAATTACAGTTTTCAATCTATTTGTGATCACATTTGAAATACATTTGTAAAGCACATCACAACAAGCTATCAGCCTAAACTTAGTGCATAGTTTGGACTTTGGAGATACGATTTTAGGCACTAAAAAATCAAAGTAGTGTCTAGGGCTTTGAGCATAGTACCTGACTTGAAGCAACTCCCAATAGCTCTGATAATATCCTCTCCAACAATGTTCCAAGAGGATCTGAAAAACTTAGCAGTGTAGCCATCAGGTCCTTTTCTGATCACTAATTTGGAACATGGCTTCTTTGGTTTCTGAAGGAGATATAGGCTTACAGAGAGATACGTATTGGTCCTCAGTAATCGAAGTTCCCCTCAAGATCCCCTATTTATCAATCGAACGAACACTGAGGCTTCTTTTGGATGTGGACTTGCAGGCAAAGAGGTCAATGTCGGAGCAGTAGGTACAGAGGGTTATAACATTGAACTTCCCATGGCCTTGCTCATGTGGAGCTTTTCGCAAATTCTAGATGTAGTGAGTGTAGCACTCAATACTTTGAGCTTGAGGCTTGATAAGGGGCTCATGCAGGAGCCAACCATGTTCAAAATTGAAAATTGGGAAAAGAGGGATTGAATATAAAATCTTTAGAATATTGAGAGAAATGGAGGAATCTTAGGAAGGAACTGAAAGGTCTGGTGGGGAGAGGTTTAAGGCTGATTTCATTTGAGGGAAAGAAAAGATGTGGGTGTTTGAACTTTGAAGAAAGGAAGGTGGGTGGGAGTTAATGAGGATTGGGTAAAAGTATGACCTACACTTTTCTATGCCCCCTGTTATCTGCATGTTTATGCATATGGAAGATTTGAGGCATGCATTTCTCCCTAGTTATTGAAGTGTGCATTTGTATATTTCTTAAAAAACTTTTCAATTCATCATTTGAGTAATCACTTCATTGTTATGGCTATTAAGAACTGTCTGGTTGGTTGGAAGTTTCGAACTTGCTGTCTTTCTATGCTCCTGGGCGGATAACATTTACAATATGCTATTGCAACGGATCTATGTTTCTCGTGTCCTGTTGAAAATGGTGCTAGCTTCAAGAATTTCTCCTTCTTAGTTTTACTTGACCACGAAGTTTTGTTGAATTTTAGTGCCTTTGATTTTTTGCTCCTTGTCCATCCCATTGAGTCTGGTCTCTGCTACACAAGGTTCTGATACATTTAAGCAATAGAATGTATTTCTCTGCATCTAAATATTTATCCTTGTCCATCCCATTGAGTCTGGTCTCTGCTAGACTAGGTTCTGATACATTTAAGCAATAGAATGTATTTCTCTGCATCTAAATATTTATCATTTTCCTAGAAAATGCAACCCTATAGTGAAAATAAACTTCGTGCAACTTTTTTCTGTTCTCCTGTACATTTATACGATTCACATGATTCACGTACTAAATTAACAGACCATTTGCATATCATCTGTGTCTTCAACTTTGTTATGATAAAGGTCAACTTCCGATATAGAGAATACATACGAATATGTGGGGCAAAAAAATTCCTCTATTCTTTTTTCTTATTTTTCACACAACCCAACTTTGAAAGACCTTTGAAATTTCTCAAGCCTACAAAAACTCTCTAAGCCACACCTGGGAAATCCTCTAGAAAGCATTGATGTATTATCGCAATTGAAACCAAAACAAATTTGAATCATAACCGTTGGGAACTCAAAACTCCATCTCGTCAACCTTTAACATTGCATGTCAGATACCATAATGTTACAATCATGTTTTGGGTGAAACCAAACTCCAACATTTCGCTGCCTTGACTTGAAAGCAACCAAAACATGTTTTGAGTCAAAGACAGCAAATCTTCTGCAAGTCTCTACCTTAGTGCAGTCAAATACTACACACATTCAATAACAATGTATTTCTGGTTTATGGCCTGAGTCTGTGACTCTACTCTGATTGCCAATTCTCCCAATAAGCAATAATGTGTGCTGTATATTTGGAAATGTATACTATGGGAACTAGGAGTCTAGGATGGCACACCTTTAATAACAGTGAAAATACCCCCTTTTACCTTCAGCCGAGTTTACACAACCATTAGCTGTGTATGTACCCCAGATTCTACTGAAGATGTTGTCTTTCCATGTAAGGGCTGTTTAATTGCAGCAATCGATCTTAACATATTCTAGAGCAAATAATTTAGTGATGTTGAGTATGCTTTGTAGACCCATATGTTCTTGCACGCCGTCGTTGGTCAATGCTTTCTGATCAATTGTGTTGATTACTTTTGCTAACAATTTTGAAGTGGATGTTTCCGAGAATCTTCCGAGTTCACAGTTCAGAGTTCCCATCTAACATCTGTTGTCATAGTCTCATTCCAAATATTTTGGTCTTTCACAATGTTTATTGGATGTTACATATTTTATAATCTTATGAATGTCTACAATAATTCTTGAAACTTCCCAAGTGTCATTTCATAGGCGTTTCAGGTCACTTTTTAACAGAAATATCAAGGATCTTTGAACTATTCTTGAATCATCCAGTTTTCAAGTAATCTATGATGGTGAGTAATGTTATTGCAAAGTCATAAAGGTTAAAAGAATCGGAATATAAGCATTTTTGGCTGTCAGATGACTCTGCAGGTGCCTCGTAATTCATAACCATCTTTGTAGATTACATATCAAGGAGGTTTTTGGTGTTTTTAGTACATTTTTCATTGCATGAATCTTCATCTTCATTGCAATTTATAACTTTTTAATACGCACACACATACACACACGAGTAAACAAGGCTGGTTTGTCCCTCCACACACACAGTTGATGTGTCACTGACGTGGTGCACATCTAGGATGTCAGCTATGAACTGAATAGGCTGATGGTTTTGCCTGTAGGGGTTTGGATATACGCACGTCTGCATGCCCCCGTTTACTGTTTCCCCCTCTCTCTACATACACAGTATGCATTTATAGTTTGCGTTATCTTGCTCTAATTGCTGAGCTTTTTTCTACAGGGAGAAAAAGTACTTTGAAGTTCATTCTTATGGAACTAAAGAAGTGCTGTAACCATCCAGTATGTATTCTCCCATAGTTTAAAATATAGCTGTATATCACCTTTGTGTTCAGGCTTTTTTAAAATTGCTATTAAGTTTTGGGTTTGGCAGTACACTTTACAAGTAATTGTGAACCCTCATCTTAGTATACAACCATACTTTCCTTTTTCATGGTCACTGTCTCGATATTCAGTTATTCGTTTTGGCACTTTCATCCATTTCCCCAAAATGGAAACAGTTCTGTCTATGTGCATGTACACACTTGTGCATGCCTCATTTCACAGGTTTTGCACTTTGTTTTTTCCCTAACTTTCAACTTTATGTTGCTGTTAACCCATAAATTTTTCTTATTAGGTATGGTACCTCTATACCTTGCTTGGTATTGATACTATGACTGACATTTGTTGATGCAAGATCCTAACGCTGTATGTGAATATGTAGATTATTTTGTTGGCATTATTGGTGGGGAAAGACTTGCTTTGATTATGGACCATGAACACATTCTTCTATAGTAGAGGCATATCCCTAAGAACTTTATTCAGTAATTGCTTGGTACATGTTGGGTACTCTGTACTCTTTATATTATTATCCAAGACATGTCGGATATAGGGGTGGCAAATGGGTCAGTCAGGTCATTTTGGGTTGGGTCAAACTTGATCCGTCCAAATAAGCTTGAGCCGACCCGGACCCCTTTAATAAAGGGGTCAATACACCGACCTGTTTATGTAAATGGGTTACCCTAAGTGGCTCAAATAACCAGCTTTGATAAACAATGAAAGGTAAAGAGCTGGCAACAAAATGTTTAAACCATGTTAACCATTAGTGCACTTACTATAAACAAAAATTCGTATTCAACATTACATTAGAAAGGGCAGAAAACCCGTCAATTAATTTTAAATTGAAAATTAGGAAAGCACTAGGAATTCAAAACAATGTTAATTACCCATTATTCTCTTTAGAGAGACTGAAATTTGGCAATAAACTTTAAATTACAAAATTCGAAATGTACAAATGCACATATGATCCTATATGCTATATTTGTATGTATACCAGGTATTTTAAAGGCTTGAAGCAAACTTGGCAACAAATAAAAAAGCACTATAAAATTGAACTAGGACTATTACTAAAATAGATTATAGTCCTTGTAAATATCTTTTTTTTAGCTATAATTTTAACGGCTTTTGAAGAGATGGTTAATCATAAACTACATAATATGCATAAAAATAAAAAACAATAATCAACAACATAAAGGTAAAAGTTAAAATAAACTTCAGGCCAGTTTGGTATTGCTTTTTTAGAGTGTTTTTGTTTATCTTTTCAATAACCAGCCAATAATGGTGTTTGGTGAAATTTTTTTAGTATATTTATTGAAATTGCTTCTGCTTTTAAGATGTGCTTTTTGAAGCAACCCGAGGAGAGAGAGATGAGCTTATGTCAACTTAAGTGGATAGCAAGTCTTTGTCCACCAAACTTTTTATCCATTCATATATATATATATATATATATAAGTATATTTATTGAAATTGCTTCTGCTTTTAAGATGTGCTTTTTGAAGCAACCCGAGGAGAGAGAGATGAGCTTATGTCAACTTAAGTGGATAGCAAGTCTTTGTCCACCAAACTTTTTATCCATTCATATATCTATATATATATATATA